TGGCCTCGCCGTCCTGGCCTGGGCACTGACATGCTCGCAGCTCGCGGCCAAGCCAGCGGCTGAGAGGGGGCACAGGCTGTTCTGTAGGAGCTCTTTTGGTGGACACAGCCACGTGATGGCATGGGCGTGTCCCGCCCTGACTCTGGCCCGTCAGCCCCAGAGCCCAAGGAGAGTCGTAAGCCAGGTGAGACGCAGTGCCTGGGGTGTAGGAGTTGGTGATGTGCACATCCTGCCGTGAGGTGCTGGGCCAAGCCAGCGGCTGAGAGGGGGCACAGGCTGTTCTGTAGGAGCTCTTTTGGTGGACACAGCCACGTGATGGCATGGGCGTGTCCCGCCCTGACTCTGGCCCGTCAGCCCCAGAGCCCAAGGAGAGTCGTAAGCCAGGTGAGACGCAGTGCCTGGGGTGTAGGAGTTGGTGATGTGCACATCCTGCCGTGAGGTGCTGCCCCTCACTCTCAACAGCACGTGGCACCTCCTCCTGCCAGTGCTTCCAAGTGAGAATGGCAGGCCTAGACCTATAGGCCCTGTGAGAGGCGAGCCCAGGCCCCATTGAACTGTCACTTCCTGCTTTTCGAGATGTCCCACTTGTGTCTGTCCCTGCCGAGCCCTCCCTCCACCCGGCAGCACCTCCAGGGGGCGGCCCTAAAAGCTTGTTCCAGCTCTGGCCAGCCCTGTGCCTTGTCACCCTCTCACACTGCTTGGGCAGCGGTGTCCAGGCCCACAGCCCTCAGGACCTGCCACAGAGCCCTGCATCGTTTCTCTTAGCACTGAGTAGATTCTTAAGCCTTAAGACTACTTAACTTAGATTGACAGCAAGTGTCTGTGTAAGAGAAAAATATTTTGATCTTTTAAAGGTAACTAGTTTGGGGGGCTGGCAGATGGCATGGTGGTTAAAGGTGCTGAATTCCTACATGGCCGACAGTGGTTTGAGTCCCAGACCTGGCAGCTTGCTTTCTTACTTTCCCTTTCTCTCTCTCTCTCTCAATCTGTGGTCAAATTAAAGAATAATAACAAATAGAATTAAATAAAAATTTTTTAACTTTTTTTTTTTGAGAGGATTTTGCTATAAGGGTACGTGTGCTTGCCAGGAAGACAGAGAGAGACAAAAAGCAAGAAATCACACACACACCCCCAGGGGGGATGGCAATGTCACAATCCCTTCTCCTCTCGGGATCCTGGGCACACATGCACACATGACCGGTGTGAGTTTAAGCCACCGGGTCCAGGACTCAAACCACGGTTGACTACATGGGAGTCCAGCAACATAACCATTACACCAACTGCTGGCCCCTAAATAATTTTTTAAAGAAATGGTAACTAATTTGGTGCTGGCAAGTGGTATGGTGGTTAAGGTGCTGGACTTCCCCATATGGCCGACTGGGGTTCAAGTCCCTGGTCTGGCAGCTCGTTTTCTCACTTTCTCTCTCTCCCCTTTCTTTGGTCAAACTGAAAAATACTAATAATTAAATAATAAAATAATTCTTAAAAAAAAAAAGAAAAGAAAGTAACTCATTGGTACCTTGAAAAATACAGCCGTTCTTCCACATGTGGCTGCCCTTCAGAGGCGAGGACTCGGCCCTCCCGGCCCGTCCCGTGGGTGCCCAGCCTCTGAAACCGTCTTCCCTCAGCAGGAGGCCAGCCTGGGCAAGTCCTCCTGAAGACCTTCCCACACGAGAGGTTCCAGAGCTGAGTGGGTCACCAGAGAAAGGGCCTTCAGATCTAGGCAGGTCTCCTCTCAGCCCCGTCTCCTAGCCTCTGCGCCCTGGGTTCCGTTCGTTCCAGCCTCCTGAAAAGACCACGCTCCTCCCTAGGGAGAGACTAGAGTGGCATTTTGGGAGTGTGTCACCTTCAGAGTAACCTGCTGGTTGGCAGGCCAAAGCTAGCAGAGGGACGTGGCCAGCCTGCCTCCCAGCAGGAGGCCCAGGACCAACAGCAAGTCTGGCTAAGGGTCGGCCCAGATGCCCGTGGGCTGTGATGCCCGTGCCCTGCTCGGCCTCTCCCCAGACCCGCTCACCTGCTCTGAGACGCTGCCTCGTGGCCCTCAGCGAAGCAGTGGCCACTCTGTCAGCACCCTGGGGTCCTTCACGCGGTGGTTGGTGTGTGAGAGGAACAGGACTCCAGCGGGGAGTGGTCGGGGGCCGTTCTCAGAGACTGTTAGCCTGGCTATACCGCTGTGGCTTTTTAGGGCCAGCACCCTGCAGGGTCCTGACACCACGATTCACCCTCAGCCAATCCCAGGTCGTGGGCACTTGTGTCGTGTGCTCCGCAGGTCTCCAGACTTGAGCTGGCCTTCCTCTGCGGGGTTCCCTCACTGAGCTCCACGGCTTACTGCTGTGCCACCGTCTGGTGCAGCCTGGTGACACTTCTATTCTTGTGCCAGCACTTTACGAAGAGTCGTCAGCTTTTAGTCTCTGCCCGAGATCAGAGACTGCCGCAGCACCTGGCTCAGAGCAGGGAACAAGGCAACCTCCAAGGTTGATGTAGGGAGGCTGAACTGCGGCGACAGCAACCCCTTCTGCTTCTCACTGACCAGTCAGTGCCAAGCCCTGCCCAGATTCGCCCCGGCGCTGACTGAGCTGAGGGTGTAAGGAGGGTGTGGTGCCACAGCAGTGTGGCACGTGGGACGGACTTGTGCACTTTCCGCAGCAGCTCGGGAGAGGCATCTCTGCAGGAAGGCCTGCCCTGGGCCATGGCTCCCAGAGTCACAGGGCTTGCACAGTGCCGGGGTGAGTACATTCAGCCTGCACTTCTACACCCACCCCTTGAGGTCGGTTCTGTTCTCTCAGACGTGTCCAGGTCAGAGGTTGCTGGGGTCAGATGGGGTCAGGAGGCTGGCACAGGCTTGATGGGACTGGAGGATGTGTCTTCTCACGGGCCTCTGTGACCCCACGTCTTACTGTTACAGTCTCTGTTCTCAGCAACGTCCATGGGGCAAGATAGGGACACTGTTCCTAAACCAGAATTTATTTTTACTGTACATTCTGGTGAAACGAGGCTTAATTCTGTTTGCGTGGTGGTGTGCCAGTCACACCGAGCCTCGCCGGAGTGGTTACCGCCTCACGTGGCAGTGAGCTCCAGCAGGGTAGCGGCGCCTCTGCCGAGGACAGAGCAGCTCGCTGACAGCGACGGGCCGAGGCAGGTGTGCTTTTCCTCCCGGGGAGGTCTTGGGGCTGGCGGGATCTGTAAGCCTGTGGTTGCTGACAGTCCTGCTTCTGGGGCACAGGCAGCCGTTCCCGCAGGTCGTGGGGACAGTGGCATCTCATTACGAGTTCTCAGCTGACCGCGTGCAAAGCAGTTGGCAGCTGCAATGGACAGCGCTGGCGCCCCGCTCCTGGCGCCCCGCTCCTGCCAGGGTTCTCTGGCCACGCAGCGACTTCCCTGTGAGTGGTCTTGGTTTTCTACTAGAGACCTGAGGTGTTCCTATGCTCCTTCCCCACCACCCGGTGATCTTCCAGGCTTACAGGAATAAGGTGACTTCTTTCCTTTTTCTTAGGAAAGGCAGTTTCTGCCTGGTTCATCACAGCAAAGCTGCTCCCTCTTGGAGGTCCAGGGGTGTCGAGTCAGTGTCCCTCACAGGGTGCTGGGTGTCAGCCTGGCAGCGCTGACCTGTCCCTCGGCCAGACCCCTCGTTGCTTGTGGAGAGGTCGGCTCGTGGTACTCTCTCCACACCCCCCAGAACATGCCAGCTTGGTGTGCAGGAGCCAGCCGGGTCTGATAGCAGCCCTGGGGGCAGGCCCGCAGCTCTGCCCTGAGCCCTGGAGCCCCTTGGCAGGGCTTCCTGTTGGAGAACTGCGTTCACCTTCCTCGGCTCTTCTTGCTGCTCATGGGGGTGGGGGGGGCTCCAGAGTGCTTTCTGCCCACAGCTGCTCCCAGGTGCAGTGCCCAAGGGGGCCCCAGGTTTGGTCACAAGGTGTGTTCATTACAGCGGCCATAATAGAGTAACCGTGGCTAGGGGTCACGAGAGGCCCAGCCCATGTACCAGAGCCCCACACTCGCTGTCACAGGCAGATGTGGAGGTGGAGAGGGTAGGCTCGAGGGTGGGCCTACAATGGGATGGCCTTTACGATCGCTCTTGCACTTGGACCTAGTGGACAAGAGTACACGGGTAGGGTGGGAGGTGGGGGCAAATTTTAATTGGCCCCCAGCCACCACTGCAGCTGGGATTTGGGCTTTGGCCAATTGGAAGCTAGAGAA